GATCCTTAAATCTTCCAGTAAGCTAAGGTGTTTTTAAGGGGGGGAAGTTTACCTTCATTTAAAATCCAAAACTGGATAATTGCATGGTAGACTGGATACAAGAGCAGTGTAGTGAAATCTGCAGTGCTGCCTTGTATAGTTTTTGCCATAGGCTAACATACATTTGTGGCTGTAGATACTGAATTTTTATTTCCAAAATTGCCCACGTCAGGCAGGCTAGCAGAGGGCTTGGACTAGTAATAGATTAAAATGAGGCATCATTTTTTGGTGTGCTATTGTGGCCTTTCTGCTTTATATCCATAGGTACTATTTGACCTAGCCAAATTTGAAGTGTTAGTTTCAATTAAAGTTCCTAGTGTAAGTCAGCTGGAGGGGGGATTTCTTTTTAATTATTTTTAAAAGAAAAGTTTGTTGTAAGCAATGCTAATAATTGTTTTGTTTTGTTGTGAAAAGCTTTTGTATTAAGTGTTTAATGAGAGTAGGAGGATCCTGGAAATCTACTTTTCTGCCTAATTTCATTGCTATTGGCAACTTAGTGTCACTAAAGGAAGTTCTATTGGGTCGTATCTTACTGCATCCTTCTTGCTGTGGAATGACAATATGCACATGTATGTGTGCATACACGCATGGTTTGTGTGTGTATGTGTGCATATATATGTGCATATAAATGCAGTTGTTTTATTTCCAAAGGGCTATCTTTAATATTCTCTAATTTTGGTTGCAGTCCTTTCTGGAGGTCAGAAAATGTGACCTCGCATGTGCTGCTCTGATAGAGTAGTTTTTTTCCTTTCATATGTTAAAGCGTACTAGTGGATTAATATGTTGAAAAATTCAAAGCTAAATTGACTGCAGTACAGCATTTTCATCTGTGTAGCAGCTAATATTGGGTGATGACATTTTCTGTTCAGTGTAACTTTTGAAGTACAGATTGGACTTGTGAGAGCAGTGCTGGCTGGCGAGTTGCGCCTTTTGCAGCTGCCGGTGCACCGGTCATCTGCATCCGTCTGCCTTCCCCCATCCCCTTCAGCTTGCTGTGGAGTCAGAGTACAAAAGGCTCTACTTCTTGTTGCAAGTCTACTCCATTAAAGGTGAACCTCTTCATAACTGCAAACAACCTACCCACAGGGATTGCTGGGGTTTGTTATCATGCTAATTTGCTTCTTTTTATATCTTTCCTGTTGTCTCAGCCTGGCTTGTCAGTTGTTTTTGCACCACTGTTGTTTAAACCACTACATTTTGGAAACACTTCTATTTACAAGCTGCAATGCAGCACTGTTGTCTTAACGGTTTGACTGACCCTAATTGCTATGACACATGTAACTAATGATGTTTTGTACTTTCAAGGAGTGCACTAAAAAGGTGATGACATATGAGTTACTGAATAAGGTACTGTGCAACTTGTGCAGTAGAGTTTGTGCAGACCTTATGTAGCATAATAAGCAGTTTTCCTGTGCTCATATTTGTTTCCCGTCAGACTGGCCTGTCTCCAGCACCGAGGCTGCATCGCACACTGAGGGTTCAGAGGGAGAGAAAAGCAGAGTGCTAAACCGATCTCTCAGCTTGAAGAAGCCTAATTTGATTAGGCTTTGATTTGATTGTCATGTTTTCTGGCAAATATGTCACTATATGTGTGTATATGTATGCGTGAGGAAACTGAAAATGGGTGTAAAATTAATAAAAATTAAATTTCAGATTGCCCTTTTATTTTCGTTTACTCTCCAACCACAATGTGATTTATGCTTATTGGAGTCTTTGAACTTCAACTCCCTTGAAGAATCTCTATCGCTTTTTTGATGTTGCTTGAAGAGGAACGTGTGTGTGTGTGTGTGTGCGCGCGCGCGCGTATGTGCATGTGCTCGCATGCTATGGTGCTCTGGGCAATTTCACTCCAGAACGCTTCCCTTCCTTTGTTTAACCTATGACCTGTGAAAACAAGAGTTAATCAAAAGTTCTAAGGTAGCTAAGAGGAAGGGGAAGTGTTTGGTTACAAATTAAATATGAGCAAGTCATAAGCCATAAATCTTCAGTAGTGCTACCAGTTGTGCTACTTAAGTTGCATGTGGTACAGAAAGTTTTCGGTTATAAATTCAACCTCCGTTTCTTTGGAGGGGGTGTTTAAAGGTTGCCTCAAGGATTTGCTTTTTGTAAGAAAAAATCCATATCTTTCTTTTTTCCTTTTGGCAGAGATCTAGAAACAAATTCAGATAACTATATTTCTTGATTTTTTTTTTTTAATTTTTTTTTTTTTAGAACTTTAGCTGGTCACAATTTGGTCTAATAAAAGCAGAACTGTTTCACTCTTGAGTAGTAAACACATGGAATAAGTGATGAAGTAAAAGTATTGAAGATGGCAGGATAAATTAGTTTTCTAACGTATCCAAAGCTTTCAGGATGAGAGAGCTCCTGAGTTCTGCAATGACAAAGGAGGGAGGTGAAAATTGAAGTGAGATTGTCTACATAATTTACGCAATTTTGTGGTGGGTTTGTTTGTTTTATCTTGCACCTTTCTTGAGCAAGACCTACACAGATCCCCGTGTATTGTGTTGAGGTCTGCTTCAAATATTAGCTAATTTCCTCAACTTCAAAACTGTGAAGCTTCTCTCCTCAAAATGGAAAGTTATTCTTAAAATAATAAGAAGAAGCGGTTATGCTTAGATGCTGAACCATTATTTGGAAAACATGGATTAAAATGAGGAAGAGTTAGTGTTAAACAAAGGAGAGTAATGAAGTTCATTATAACATAATAGTGAAGAGAAAAGGGAAAGCCAACAAGAAGTGAGAAAGTATAACAGAAATAGGGCTATACCTTCCCTTTTGTTGTATGGAGTGTTTGCTGATGTGTCGACATTGTGTGAATATGAGACTTTATCTGGGTTATTTTTATTAGAATCATAGAAGCTATTTTCTAGGCGCTGAGCAAAAGAATCAAAATTGGATTTGGATGGAGTATTCTCATGGATAGGACCTACAAATTTGTCATGTTTGGTGTATTGCAGTAATAAAGAAAATTCCCTTGAATTTGCAGTGAGGTAAGGTTTAGCTGTGAATAAACAGGCCCCCGACAGGACAGATAAGTAAATCTTTGAAGAAGGAACACAACCTGACCTTGGTTTCAGAGCTCAGCATTGTCCCCTTGGGGGTACGTGCACCCCTTGTTGCAAATGGTGCTGAGAACCTGGTCTGTCCTCACTCGCAGGCGTTGAGGCTCTAAATGAAGTGCAGCTCTGGCAGACTAGAAGCTGAGGTAACTTGCTTTTGTTTATTGCTTTTATATTGACACATATATTATAAACACAATAATATTTTAAAAGATTCTCATTTTAATTCTGTAAATACAGTTTTCCGGCAAGGTCCCTGAGCAATTAAGTAGAACTTTAAGTATGCCTTCCTGAAATAAGTTTTGGTTTCATACTGTCAGGGAGCTTTCTGCCTTCTTGGTTTTCTGTCTTTTCAAACTCTTTTGAGAGATGCCTTGTGAGGATTTGTTTACCAGGTTCTTAATCTCTACTTAGCAGATATGTTTTGAGAGGATTTCTTGTTACTCTTGTAATGGCTTTTAACTCTGCTGAAGTTTATTTAACTAAACAGAAAGAAAGAAACTTATCTTCTAACTAATCCTTCTTGATTGTTTACAATTTAATGCCAAACTTAAATGCTGTTTAAAGTGGTAATTGTCTGTCTTTCTGCTCTATTCTAATACATAGTTTGTAAAGATGCTTAGAGCATATTAATTTAAATGATAATACTGTCATATAACATGAAAAGTTAAGTTGCTTATCACTATATTTTGATAAGCTACTTACATTTTACAGTAGCATTTGCAGGCTTCAAACGAATGTTAATGATGGAGTGCCATTCACTTTATCTGTCTCATATATAGCTTCTCACTTCATTTATTACTAAAAGCTGTACAGTTAGGAACCTTGGGGCACTCAATTCTTTATAATTGTCAGGATGTAGTCATATTTTACAAAAACTTTCAATCCTGTCTAACTATATCAAAATAGAATCCATTTGCTTCAGAAAGCATCTGTGATTAAAAGAAGAATCCGTTTGTGCGTCACGCAAACTTGCTTTCCTATTCGCTGCAGCTGAGGGGAAATTCCTTGCCGGTATTTAAAAAGGAATTGAAATAAAGAACTGCGTCATGAAAATAGGGCGCAAGATCATACCAAAGCATACTGTAGTGAAAAGTAACATCTTAGCTGTCTGTCTTATTTTATGGAATGGAAATGTAATGTAAATGAAAAAGATGCGATTTTTCTGCATGTTTGTCTTTTAATTTTGTTTCTTTATGACTTTTGCAAGTTGAGTACAAATTTACTAAAGATAAAGTTTCTATTTGACCTAACGAGGGGCTGGGCTAAATACAGTGATATAGGATGTGGATTAAGGTTTGACAACAGTTAAAAACTGAGATACTGGTTATGCAATCTTAAAAAATCCAGTTGTATCAGGATTCAAAACCAAAACAACTGTCTGTTTGCAGTTTACTAGGACGCTCAGCAGCTGTACAGAAGACTAGATATTTAACATATACTTAGGAAATAATTACAATTAAAAATGTTCCACCATATATGAACATAGATACAGTAGTGTACATTTATCTTGCTGGTTAAAAACTTCCATTGGATTGTATGTTTGTTATGTACAGGGTGAGAAGGAAGGTGAGCTCCCAGCACTGCCCTGCCTGATACCCGAGGTTTTTTTGTTTACAGCTGGTGCTACATTTGATGTTTAGTGCCCACAGGTGGCTGGAAACGCTGGGGAAGAGTAAATACTGAAGCTCAGTCCTCAAAGGGAAGGGATGCTTCAACCTTCTGGCAGTGTTCTCCTTCAAATGGAAAGTCCGATGTGGCTTTCCTAACAGATATTTATAAAGTGTCATGTCCAGTGGAGGCTGTTGTTAGGATGCATGTATATAGTAAAGGCCAGCAATCTTGGATTTATTAACTGAGATTTAGCAAGTTAAATGTATGCTTTTTCTTTTTTTTTTTTAGTTACCTCCCATGGTTTGAAGTCTTTTATAAGCTGCTCAATGTCTTGGCAGATTATTCAGCAAAAGGACAGGTATTATTCTAAAGTACTAACCCTTCTTTTCCCTGCCCCAATATCAAATGAGGGAGAGAGGATTAAACAAGCTGTTTTAAGAAGTGCTTGTATCAGAGATGACCGTGTGAGTTATTAATCTGTATGATGCAGTAATATAGAAGAGTGGTCAGGCCTTGGAACAGGCTGCCCAAGGAAGTGGTGGAGTCACCATCCCTGGAAGTATTTAAAAGACGTGTAGATGAGGCGCTTAGGGACATAGTTTAGTGGGCATGGTAGTGTTGGGTTGACGGTTGGACTCGATGATCTTAGAGGTCTTTTCCAACCTTAATGATTCTATGATTCTATAAGATCATATTCAGCCAAGCTGAAAGCTCGGCAAGTGCCTTTGAAAAATAAATATGCTTTTAAATTATTTTTGGGAAAAGATAAAGTCCAAGAATGTGACTGCAGATCCAACACAAGTTAATGGTTTCCCTGCAGTCACCCATCCTGTGTAGACTTTTTGATTACCTGAACTGTATTCAGCATATCCATGCAATTCCTATATTGCAGTGTTTCATGAATCTTTGACAGGTGTCTTATCCAAGTTTACTTGTCACATAAAGTAAGTGTAGAACTAAGCTTACTGATGCAAAATGCTTAGCATCATCTGCCTTTCAGATGCTGTTTTGCTTTTAGAGCAAAACAAAGTAAAATTCAATCTTCAGACAGTGAAAAAATGTGACTAAGCCATTAACATTTGCTTCTAGGCTTATAAATGATAATTCATGATACAGAGAAATCACGTATATGATTGCAACACCTAGCCTAGTTTCAGGTATTGAAAATATTACAAGTATAATCTTCCCAGTTAGGTTGCTGCTTTGATTTATTATAACTTCGTGGTAATAATCGTATTTTGCATTTGTCAGAATCATTCGCGTTTGAGGTAGAAGTACTTAGGATCACATCTTCATCTAGATGGATTAAATACATTTGGTTTTACCCTAAACTAGTGAGTTGTTATAAAGAACTTGCAGTGAAAACTGGCTTGCTCTGAGCTGAGTAACTGTGTAGCGCATAGGTTGGTGACTCAGTAGGTTGCAGAAATATGTAGAAACACATATGAAAAAAAATGTATTCTAAAAAAATCATGTTATAAAACACAGCTGTCAGAGGAAACTACATTTATTTCTGTTCATAGTCTAATGTATAAATCTATTTTCATGTTTTTCTTTACACTTGCAAGTTCTCTAAGCCCCCAATTCCACAAGCATTGCCCTTCCGTCTTGGAGTTTAGCTTGTTATAGCAATGCCTACTTAGTATTCCTTTTTTTTTTTTTTTTTTTTATTTCTCCTTCTTATTTCAGGATAGTCAAAGGAATGAGCTCCTAGAAACATTTCATAAACTTACCATCCCTGAGCCAGGAACCTCTGTTCATCTTGGAGTGGTAAGTGAAGTGGGAGAGACGTAATCTAAGATGTTTAATTTTCATTACATATCATAATAGAGGAACGTCAAAAGCAATTCTCCTTTTTGGAACTTGGTACACAGATGTTGTTTTCCTGTGAGGACACAGAGCTGTGAAGTTCCTCTTTTCACATTTGGGGCCCTCTGTTTCCTTTTCCCTAACCTCAAATGTCTTTGAAATGCTGTTCTTTGATTGGAGGAAGATTGTGTATATTCCCCATGGAAATTTCTCACCATATCGTCTGTGACCTGCGAGAGGTCACAGAGCAGCAACATGACATTTATTGCCCACACTTCTGCAGAACTCCTAGATCTTGCAAGTATGCAAGGGGGAAAGACTGGAAAGCAAACAGTCAGGTACCTGTCATAGCAGCATTTTGAGTATTAACTGTTTATCACATTTTCTGATTCCTTCTCCTCTTCCTCCCCCCAAGAAAAAAACTCACACAAAAAAGGGTTTATTTCATTTTTATATCTTGTGAGAAAATTAATCAAAGAACACTGAAAGAATAGATGTGGGATTTTATTGATGGGATTGTATTTTGAATTTAGTCTTTTGGGGTTTTTGTGTTCAAATTAATTTTTGCAGAACAACCTTGTGTTCCAGGCTGTAGTGAAAAAATACTTAAGATGCACATTGCTGCAGTTGCCAATTAGTCATTTAGAGTTCACATGGAAACTAGTGGTGTGTGCAGCCACAGTTCTCTTCTCCCTCTCATTTCCTTTACTCCTTCTTCTAAAGTACTTTTTGGCAACAAGCAGCTTACTCTCATCACTTCACCCTGTAATGTCAGTCGACAGGTAACAGTTGTTTGGCCTTGCTAGGTCACCAGCTGGCAGTAGAAATGTCCCAGTCCTCTTGAGGCTAGCTCTTCTATGAACAGCATTTCTGTTTAAGGGGACGAGCTGTCTCAAAAGGCAATGATCAGTTGGGATGTTTCAGTTTTTTCATACCAGTGGTTTTAAGGAATGCTGCCGTCTCCTCTTGTCTCGGACATTTCGTGGTGAATGGATGAAGCAAGAAAGGATGTGAAAAAGCAGCCAAGGGACTGTTAGCTGTGGTGTCTTTACGCATTTTATTTTGGCTGTTACAAGCCTATTTTGGGGTCGGGGTGAGGTTCCTCTGTGTAATATGGTTGCATATACTATTCCTGTGTCTTTGCATTGCATCTTTTCAAGCAAACTAAAACAGTGATATGTCAAAAAGCAAAAATTTGTGTTTATACATTTCGTGTCTATATTCAGTGTAGCTGTTATACCCGCTTGCTATTTCGGGTTATAGACTGTTCATGAAGCACTGAAATGTCTGAGATATATATACAAGAAAATTGTGCCAATTGTGGAACTATGCCAAGAATATAACAGCCTTTAAAGCTTCAGCAAGTAATTAATAAGTAGCGCTAAGACAAATTGTGAAAATCTTAAAAATAATATAAATTGTATACAACACTGATTTACAAAAGCAGTTTAGTCGCATTCTCTCCTTTCCTTTCCCAAAGGCCTAACCAAGAATCATGCAAGTCATGCATGGTCAGATTGGGAACTAGAGTGAACCTGGTCTCTTGGAATGCAGACAATTAAAAAAATGTAACAATATAATGGATTATGAAATTGCAAAACCAATATAGTCTTTCAAAATGTGTTTTTTAAGGTGTATAAAAGTGACCTAGAACTTTAGTAATATTTTTCAGGTAAGTAGGCATAAAACTTTAGGGAGCATTTCTCAGTAAATTTCTGTAACTTCACCATTCTCTTGAATGAAACTTACTGATGCTGTAAGTCAGAAAAGGACCTGCTTGCTGCTGTTTCCTGCAGTCCGTCATGCAACCTGCAGTGGGCTGTGGAAAGGTGGCTTGAATTATAGACTGCCTTGGAGTTTCCTTGGCATATGTCATACATTGTGTGAGTCTGTCTGTATCAGCGTCTCTGAAGAACAAAAAAATGTAATACAACTTTTCAGGAGCATTTGATACTTTCTATCTTAATGCATTTCATATTGCTTGTGTCATCTGAGAATCCAGCTTTTGAAATCCATGACAAAGAAGTCATACTGGTAGTTGGTAACAAATGTTCTGTCATTTTTACTTAGCTGAGCAACTGCTATTACTGTTGTTACTAATACCAAGCAATAAAATTAGATTGCTTTTGACAATTTTGCAATAATCAATATTTGCTCTTTTTTTAGCACTCTTACTTTACTGTGCCTGACATCAGAGAGCTTCCTAGTATACCTGAAAATGTGAGTACTCTAGAGGACCGTGCACTTTACCATTTCTGTTTAATGTCAGCAGCAAAATAGATAACAATTGTTACCTCTGTTTGGCATAGTAATAGATTATATTCTGTAAAATATTGCTAGATGTTGAAGTAAACTTTAGGTGGTTAATTTATAATAAGTGTTGAGTGGAAGACATTGTGTTGCTAACTGCAGAAGTACATGAGTAATAGGCCTTTTGAAGTACAACATAACAGTAGAATTTAATGTTTGCCATTTTAATTAAGAAAAGATACCAAATGAACAGAAAATCAACAGCATAATTATCTTAGGCTGTAAGTCAAGATATTTATTTTAAAAATATAAAGCTTTTGTTATTATCACCACTCTATTATTATTTACTGTTAACATTCCAACATTTCTTGGTTCTAGTAAGTGAGGAAATTTAAAATACACATCTATAGTTTTAGCCCACTCAAAATTGGGAAAGAACAGTGATTTGGTAACTGTATGTAACAGTATGGTGGTGTTTCAGAGGACAATGATGGAGTTAATTTGTGTGAAAATTCGCTCACTACAATAAGCCTATGAAAAATTCTTGAAAGTAATCTCAAGGCAGTTTTGTGATTGCCATTTGATTGAATGCAAGAGTCATCCTTTACATAAAAATGCAGGATTACAATAGAAAGGCATTTCATCCACTTTACCAGACTTTAATTTATATCAAAAAAAAGACAAGAATCTGTTGAGGTATTTCACCTTTATAGCTAACTTGAATCAGGGTCTATTTTCTTCTCATAAGTTCCAAAGAAGTGCTGTTTTAAAAGGAACTTACTAACTTCACAACTAAAGAAGCAATTTTTTTCTTCTGCATCCAGATTGATGTTTCGTTCTCCCCTTGCTGACCTCACACTGTTTACATAGTTTTGTTGGTTTTCTTGAGGTGTGAGATTTTGAGTACAACATGAAACTGAAACTGAAAACTAAACTTGGGAAGTAATTGTTGGGACCTGCTGCAGAGATAACATACGGGTTTGAAATTAATTTTATTTGAAAAGTTTCAATACAATATGTTGTTTTTATTTATCAAAGTGTTATGGCTACTTATTAGTCAAGCCAAGGATATAATCTTGATACTCAGTATCTTCAGTGAGAGTTCGATGTTTCAAACATCCATATCGCTAGTATTAAGAAAGATCAAATACCAGTTTGGCATTAACTTGCCTTGTTCTTTAAGATGCTGTCAGAATTCAGATATCATATATCCTTACTTAAAACATTTTGTATTCAGATGAACTTCCAGGCTCTTTGCTTTAAAGGTATATTATTAGCTGTAGTTGCTTAGGCGGTCATTCTTTTCTTTGTGATAACATCTTCCTTCTGTATCATATTTACACAATAGCATTCAAGAGTTGACAATCTGTATTTGTGATTAAAAGCTGAAATGTATTAAGGGTAAAGTACAAATGGACAGACTGATATGGGTAGAAAAAAGCAGATCTACTAATCATACAGTGAGACCCTTCTGAAAGAATGACATAAGAGACCAGTAAAAATGATCTGTTTGTTAGATGGCTTTCTGAAAATGTCAAGCATACCTGGTTTCTTTAGGGCCACTTTTTCAGAGACTTTTTAAGCCTCACAAAGTTGTCTTGTATGTCTTTCAGCATCCCTCAGATTTCTAGCCAGACGATAGGTCTGTGGGAAGACAATGCTGGCATTTGCTTCTCTTAAGTACTCTTTAATATGCTCCTGCTATGTCTCTTAGCCAAATTTCTATGCCTGACATCTCAGTTTTCTTTCTTGAACATTTTGCGGTCTGCCTTAGCACCATATACCTCAATTTATGGCATGAAAGACATTTAATCTTGTTTGTGGATGAATTGTATAGCAGATAACATTTGGGGCTTTTTGTTTCTGTTTAAAAACGTAGTTGCTAGCTTTTCTGTGTTGTAGACTTTTCATGCTGACACGTATCCTGTCAGTAAATTTAATAGATGTGCTTTTTCCTCTAAGGTGCTTTATTTTTGTAGAAATATGATACATTAGGAGTAATTTGAGAGTCAGTTCCTGAGTCTAAACTAGCTATCAATCTGGAATGTGTTCTGTCCTAATCCAGACGTGAAGTTAATTGTTTATAATTAATCCCTTTTATGCTAATCATCTCAAACTTTAACAATTTTAACAATTTTTGTTTGATAACAAAAATCACCTGGAGAGCAAGGAAAGAAGTTTATTTCCATTTTACAGGCTGGCAAATTGGAGGGCAGAGAGAAATGAGCTAGTAATGGTAAGAAACCAGTGGCAGGGATTGAAAGTAGATCATTTGCCTTGGGCCTGCTTTAACTGATATGGAACAGCTATTGTTACACACTAAAAGGCTTCAGGCAGTATAGCTGTATTTATGCTCTATTGGTTATGTCTGCTGGTGATGTTCGCTTCATATTCAAAGGTATGAGTCAGCTTCCCAAAACATTTGAGCAGGAGACATGATGAATGCTCATGAATCAAAGGCTGTTATAAAAGCAGAGGCCTTGGGCCAGAAGGAGTTGGAAACCCTTTGAAAGCTGAACACTCAGCCTTCATGGGAGGGAGTGCCATGTGATGCTAAAAAGCATCCTCTTTGAATCATTGAGTGGTGCTGATGTGCCTCAGAGGGAATGTGATTGTTTCGATGTAGGTATCCTGTGCAGTGACGTCAATGTGAAGGATGGACTCCTTGCAGTGTCTGGGGTGAACCAGGGCACCTCTGGGAATAGAAGTTAACAAATATGTATGCCCATATATAAATATACCCAAATTTAAATAGCTAGGGCTCATTGTAAGAAAGAAAAATATTAAAAATAAGATCCATTGGTCTCACTGTTGTTGCAGTTGACTGTCTTCTATTTCTCAGGCATTTCTTTTGTTTATTTTTTTCTAATGAGTATTGTGGAAATTCTTCAGAGGATTTTATCTGTCTGTTAATGCAACTTTCATGTAGAATTGGAGCATATTAGGGAACAATACAAGGACATTAAATGAGCGTAAATCTTCATGGATTTTAATCAATTGGCCTGATTTATTCAAAATTCTACATATCTTGTCAATAATTACACTTTAAAACTCATATTAGCAAAAGTTTTAGTAGTGCAAAACTTTGAAGTTGTATGTAATGATTAATGGAGAGCTGCATAGCACTCTATTTGGAATGTTAACAAACTACTTGGAATTATCTGACTTTGTGTCAGATCAATATGTTTAATGAGTCACGAAAACATTTAGCATGGACACTTTTATGTAGCAGCTAAGCATTCACTTTTCCAAAAGATTTAAGTTACATGAAGCATTTGTAAATGCATTGTGACTTCAGAAATAAGTTGGGTTCGTTGCAGGAAATACAGTGCAAGGCTGTAAATTTCCTAGTTGTGTCTGTTGCGTTTCAGAAATCTCAGGTAAGTTAGCAGTCTGAAATGATGACATTTTCTTGGTGATGATGTTCTGGTGTATTTTTGTATCATTCAGTCCTACATTTCAAAATGCCTGATTTTTCATTCATTGTAATGTATGGCTTTTGCTACCTGTTTTTCTTAAAATCCCCCGTCCCCCCCATTTTTATTTCTATATTTACACCATTTGATAAAGTGTATTGTCTTCATTATTTTGTTCTCCCAAGAAACAGCATGGCATTATAAGAGAGTTAGCTGCATACCAGATTACCTAACCCATGTTAGATTTTGAATGTGTGATATTTCAAAGAAAACGAACTTCTAAATAAGATGAGGGATCTCCAACAGGAGAAGGAAACTTGACTCGATTCGATTGATCTAATTCAGGAAATTTACTGAAGTCTTGTAAATGAAGCCGTTCAAGAGCAGAGTAAAATAAGTGAACTATAATCCATGTTACTATGTTTGAGCTTCACTCTTTGCAAGGAGAGAGCTCTTTGCTTTGTTCCTCCAGTGAGAAATTCTTCATTAGATGATGGAGGAAGAGAAGTACATGAATTTTTTTTTTCTTTATCTCAAAAGTCAGTGTGCATGTGCATTGACTGATATTAGATAGCAAATGATCAAATAGATGATTGATCTAGGAGTGAACTTTCAAAGGAGCATAAGGGAATTTTGTAGCACTCTTACTGAGTTTTGAGGGGAATGGGAATACCTGTTCCCATATTTTATTTTGAAAATCCCACTTTTTACTCTCCCAAGAAAGGTTTAAATCCTAGGAAACAAAATACACAACAATTATACTGCAAATTGGAAAGCTTTCATTTGTATTTATTTAACTCATTCATGGTTTTGTCACTTACGAGACAAGTCTTTCAAAATACATGTGTAAGTCCCAATTTCATCTTCAAAGATGACAGCTTTCTCATAAATAAAACTTAGAGCTAACACGTGAATTTCCTTAGTATCAATACATTACCATACAGCCCACATGCTTCGCAGGTGTCATTGGCAAATTTCTGAGAGCAGAGAAGATTAAAACCTTATAAATCTTTCCATCTGAAGGTACGTTTGTGTGTCAAAGCCAGTATTTCGCTAGAATAAACTTGATGAAAGAATAATTGCAAATCAAGTCCCCGTGTCTATTTTCCTCTCACTAGTGGATACTGTTACAGCCTTATAAACACATCCATGCACATGCATATCTACATCTTCAGGCAGAATACAGGGATTATGGGCTCCTTTCGCTATGCCCCTAATTTGGGTGGCATCAAAGGATGTTCAGTGCTACTTAAAAATTCTTTTAATTCACACTATTTGCAGTAATTGTGTCGTCATGCACTGTGTTTTGGCGTCGTGGAAAGATGGGTGAGAGGGGGAAGAAGAGTCGTAGAGAAGACAGCTTATGTTTAGACAAAAATATCATGCTAATCAGCACAGATGGGATGAGAAATATAGAAAAAGTACATGATAGTTTAATAGGTTTTTGGCAAAATGTGTTGGCTTTTTTTTTTTCTTCTTTGAATATACCTGTCTGTGGCTATAGCTTTTCTGTAACAAAGACCTGAATGATTGTTTTATATTAACGTCTTTGAAGCTAACCATAATGAGCTTAGTTTTTATCTATCTAAATACTGGTACAAAAGTCTTCCAAATACAAAGCTTAATTTTTCTTTAGTTCTTTGTGTTTGGATGGCAAGCTGTGGAACATATTTTTGCACAGTATGAAGCATCTTGGCAGCCTTCTCAGGCCAAGTATTGGTGGTTTTAGAGTTATCTTTGGATCTGTCAAAAGTGCTAATAGGCTTTGTTGAGCTTCTTTAAGTTTCTAATCATATTTGCTTTTTGCTTTTCTGCACTTTTTTATTTAACGATGATTAAGATTGCACTTGAATTCATGACTAATCTAATTTTGCTCTCACATGTGCTTTTTGTATAAGACTGTCTTTATCATATAGCAACCCTTTCATATCTGTAAAAAGCTATTTGGAAACAAGTTCCCTAATTCAGCATTTTTGGGTGTATTACCTTTTCCTCCACCACCCCCCTTTTTTTTAAATTTTTGTGTTTTAGGAAGTGAAAATATCCTTTACAAACAAAAATCCTTTTTTGTTTCCCTTGCACTGTAAAAGCGCCTCATAACATAATGCATTTTGATCAAGTTACCTACCTACCTTTCTAGTTTTGATAGTAAAGATCTTAGAACCACATTATGCTGTTTATTAGAAGACATCTTAATTATTTAGTAAATGATGCATGATTCATGCCACTACAGCATGTGCACAGGGCAATTACATTGGTAATGATGAATAGATAATGTTGCTGGCTGATGGGATGATGTGGGGGATGAAGTGGCTATAGCCTCTTGTGCAGCTTGCTCTGCTTTCTTTTTTGAATTTCAGTTATTTATAATAATTTTTACATAGGTACTTTTTAATATTCTGAGCAGCAAAAGCAAGGAAGAAACCTGTGTTGCCTAGGAAGTGTATATGTAAAGTTTCGGTGATGTTACTTACTTGTGTCTTGGTCTTTCTGTCTGTACTTCAAAGGCAGATTGCAAATGTGCCTTGCTTATGATATTCTACTGCAATTAATTTTCTTTATACTATGTAAACATACTGATCACTCAAGTAAAATTGGATGCTTGAATCCTGCCTCTTCATCAGAGATGGGCATCCACTGAAATTTTCAGAGACAGAGAATTCTCTGTCTCCTTCCTCAGTTTCCCCAGCCCCTCAAGGAAGTGCTTTCTGTCTTCCACCAAGGGGAAACATGTGTCTGAGTGCATGAAGTGAGCAGTTCAGACAACTTTTGTAACTGTTTTTAGCTTGTGTGTTAAATGCCCATGTGTATTTCTAATTATCAGAATTGTTCTGGCATAGACATTGCATTGTTATATGCAAATTGTCCATTAAAAAACCTGTTTTTATTGTTGGGTTGTATGACTTTTTTTCTTTTATTATTTTTTTTAGTACTTTATCAGGCAGCTTTGATGTTTCCATAGAAGTGACAGAATATATTTTTTGTCAGAGAAGTATCTTATATTTAAGAAGCTGTATGTGAAACATCATCAATGTTAATATGCCAATACCTAGCTCCCCAAAAGTTAGGGGAAAGATGTTGCAATTAAAAAGTACTCTGACATAAGATGACATACTGCTTTCTTTCGTTAAGCCACGTACTGGATGTAGTGTAATAGGAGGATGAAATCTGTGTTGTTTTTTTTTTTTTGTTAAGGACACTTATTTTTGTAATATCATGAATCAAAAATTATTTTCTCTCTTCCCAGAGAAATCTGACAGAGTATTTTGTAGCAGTTGATGTCAACAACATGCTGCATCTCTATGCCAGTATGCTGTATGAACGCCGCATCCTCATTTGTTGTAGTAAGCTGAGCACTGTAAGTAAAATGCAGAATAATTTCTTCTATTCACAGTACTTTTTAAAAAATGACAGTCATATATAGGAAATTATATGATGATCTCTAGGTCCCCCTTCCAACCTCAGGTATGCAACCTCGACTCAATTCTGTGGTTCTGTGCAATGATTTTGCTGAACTTCTGTTGGCCTCTCATGTTCAAATGAAAAAGGCTTTTTTGGATACAGGAATTCTTGGGGTTGTTTGGTACATAAATGTACAAACATTTCTGCTGTAGTGAAGTCCCTTTTTCATAATTTACTTGACAGGAAAAAAAAATAGATAAATGATACTGTCAAATGGATGTTCCAGTGACCTTCTCTGGGTGGACCGAAGGAGTGGGCTAAAATACATTGACAATCCACATTTTTGCAGTTTTATTTGATAAGGTGCAGTCTTAATGCTACTTAAGCTTCATCAAGGGTCTGAGAGATGAAAGCTACTGCATGCTGTAGAGTACTCTTTTCTAAAAATGGCTGGACATCAAAACAAGCACACAGCTTGATTTAGTTCAAAGTTTTGTGTTATGCATTTCAAGGTTTATCAGTCAATAAGATTGTGATTTTCTTTATATAAGAAAATGTTAAGTTTTCATTCTGTTTGCTCTGTAAATGGGTATTGATGGCTTTCCTTTATGAATGACGAGCACAAGATGATTTAACCAATTTTGCTTTCTAGTGCTATGGACTAAGTACTTGAGCAATCCTTTCTAAAATACAAGCTTCCATTTTCATTTTGTATGGTATCAACTAGTCTCTCAGTGTATGACCATGACCTACTTTGTGTTTGAGATTAAAACTGCTTCATGGAAGACTGAAATTATGTACATAAAATCATGTAAGAATGGTCTGTCAATACAGGGCAGAAAAATGAAAGAGAGTAAGACTTCATACTTATCTCAGAATAACTATTACAATATTGTTTTGAAAAGTAAGTGAAACTAGGAGAGTTAGAATAATCTGTGGGACCTATTAATAATTATTAAATGTTTACAATCAATCCCACATTTAACCGAAAGAATTTAAGTATTATAAAGTTTAATATCATAGAAAACTTGTAAAATCTTAACTTTTATATCTTCTAAGTGTTCTATGTTCTCCCTACTAAAATAAGCAAAAATACATCCAGGTCTGGTAATTGAATGAAATGAAAAAGAGGTGTGTTTATTTCAGAAACCTAAAGAATGAAAAGAATAGTAAATTATCAGAGAAGAGGAACGAAGAGAATGGCTATCCAAAGCATTTCAAAATTTGTGTGGTTGGTTGGTTTAATCTCTCCCTTTGTGACAGAGCCTGGGAAGAAGAATTACTTACCTGTCACTTTGCCTTCCTTAATGAGCCATTTCGCAAGTAGGGTTGTGTTTTCTTTCCTATCTTTCTGCTATTTCTCTTCCTTTTGCCTCTGTCCAAGATAAAAGCATGTCTGGTTCTTCGGTAGGGAGGGGTATTCATACTGTGTGTTCTTATCTTACAACTTTATATATAAACTGCTCCAAGATTGGAGTGACAGTGTAAGACAGGTTTGAAGTGTTGGGCCAGAGCCAGTGATTCCTTGCCTGCACGCTCTGCTCTGCATGTTCCAGCAGTAGGAACAAGCTGCATTATTTTATTTCAAACTGTGCTCAGCGGAAGCCAAGACCTTGTAACTGGAAACGTACCAAACCGAGAATTCTCAAAGTAAAGTGAGGGTGGTGTGCTGGTGAGGGCGTTTGGTTTCTTTGTTTTTATTTTTTAGTTTTTTAACAAAAAAGTGGAAGGGACCTATTTGCAGTTAACTTCTTGTAACTTTGAGAGACATGGCACACTTCATACTTAAGGCTTAAATTTAATATAAGGTAAGAGAGAGAAAATTAAACAGTCCTGGATAGGAGGTCTTTTATGGTAGAATGAATTCTGTGTTATAATACATCATATCAAATTCAAATTTTGATTTGAGATATTCTTAATATAGTTAGGTTGAATAAGATTTAGAGGTAACTGAATGAAGCTGTGTTTATTAGCTATTTTATAAACCATGTGTACTGAACCTATGGAAGATCTATTGCTGTTTTCTTGGATTTTTTTCTTTTTTTTTTTTCATACAAAAGGAAACTCAATTTCTCAGAATGTTAAAGCAATTATTCATGTTAAATTTCTTTACATATTCTGTGATCTAACTACTCATGAAAAGCCAAATATGAACCAAAATGCATAAAAAAACCTGTGCTTGGCAAAAGACCACCTCCTGGTGGGAGCATGCTGTTGCAAAAATGAAACAGAAGAGCTTTCCTTGCATCCACTATTCTCTCTTCCATCATAACTTGCCCATGCATCCCTGCCTCAACAAGGTATGTTAACTACTTGGGATAAGGGCAGCAGCAGGTTGTCTCTGATTTTAGAAAGCTGGCTTACATGAAGCCTGATGGCTCTTAGAAGATTTAAAACTTGTGACTTTCTGTGATGTTTCTGTCTGGCTCCATCATACCAAGGTGAACTTCTTTACGTAATTTTTCTGTTATTACGGTGTTAGTACAAAGCAAAAAGTACCATTCTGACATGGATACTCTTTTGTTCCTGGGAGTTGAGAGCTTACCGTGTCACTTCTTCCATGTCATTGAAAGCTCTGATACACAACCTCTTATTCCCTGGTTGGTTTCTGACATGCCTCAGAGCTCTGAGGATAAGGAAATGGTGGTCCTTAGGAAAAGACAACATATGATTAATACCATTCACCAAACGTCCTTGTGATAGCTAAGAGCTTGCACAATTCTTGTTCTACAGCAGTCTTACAACTAATGTTTTAAATGTACAAGCTCTTCCTTCCCAAGAGCTCTATTGCTGTCCTCATAACCTGCCAGTGTAGGTCTTGACCTTCATACACAGCCTCTGCTACAGCCCTGCTTTCGCTGTTTAATTCTTATGTAGCTCAGTCTTAAGCTTTCTACTTTATTTTCAGCCCTGAATAATGCAGAAAAACGATCTTACAAACACTGAAAATGTGGTAATTTTTTCCAGTATATATTGCACATTTTTAGCCGTGTACTGCATCTGTACAACTGTGCAGTGTATATGCATCAGGAGAGAGTAAAATGCACTGGAAAATGGCCTACTGTAATTCCACATCAGTTTATAATTTTTATATATACAACAAAATCCTATTGATTTAATTTGCTCAAATAAGGCTTTTAGAGTATTAAATATAAAACTCTGAAAAGTGAATTAGTGAATCAGTGTCTGTCTTACATAGCTATCTTTTTACATTCGCTAGCAACAGCTGCAGCAAGCTGAGGTAGTGGAACTAATCTTATTTCAAAATGCTGGATTCCTATAGTTTTGACAGTTGGGCATTTCTCAGGCTGCCTTATTATTAAGTGCTTGTTTTCTGTATGACAATCACTAATCAGGTGAGGTCTCCAGCAAATATGCTGTTTCTTTTTTATAAGCCCTTATCTTGGCAGAGTTGAAGGACAGTACTGGTGCTTACTCATGGTAGTATGTTATTTGAATTCATGCCAGATAGCAAGGTGGGAGTACATCTCAAAAATAAAGTGACAGGTTCTGCCCAGATGTCTGCAATGTTGAGCATTATGTCTGTTTAATCTTTTCTTGCTGAGTTTTAAAACCAATGGGAAGGGGGCTTGGAAGGGACCTCCTTGGATTACGGAGTTCACTCCTCTACAGCAGCAACCATGTTATATAATAATGCCAGGAAATAATCCATTTGATCCTCATAGAAGCAATTTTTAAGTAAGAATTAAATTTTTAACCAGTATTTTTTCCAGACATCTTTTTGCTTTGGAGAACAGAAACAGAAAACATAAAGGATTTAGGAATACAGTGGAAAAATTGCATTGGGAAAGCATGCTTTTTTTTTTCTGCTCCATATTTTGGAACTAGGCTATGTCTTTCATCTAATCTGTGAGAGAGGAGCATCTTCTCCAGTAGGAATAATATAAAGATAAGTTGAAATATAATGGGATAGGGATAAATCTGTAGTGTTTCATGAGTCATAAATATGGAATAAAGTCAAGATTTCATAGCTTCTGACTTTTGCTTTAAGTAGTATCCTAATATATTAATAGTTCCATCCCATATGGACCATAAGATAATGTTCACCTGATAATAAAAAGCTTTCTCATTGAGAAAGACTGAATGGGTACTTGTTCAAATACTTGCTGTACTCTGTCTGCTTCCAAAGATGCTATTTCCTTAGGACGGTGGTTCAAATCTAGTTTAAATTCTTGCATATTCTCACTTACGGAAACATGTTATCAGCACTGGGATGCTTTTGAGCTTTGTGGATCCTCTTCTCAGGACACTGCCAAATGAAGCATTGCTAAGGTGAGGAGTGACTGTGTAGCTTTCATGGGAAGAGTAAATATGACATTTGTAAAAGAAATCCATGCCTCAAATCTTAAAAATCTTTAGAAATCTGGGTAAGATTGAACAATGTTGAATTCTTCAAAGCTATTAAAGATATTTTTGTGGCATAGGATAGTTTGATCCTCTTGAGGGTAAACAACTGGCTAAAAGTTTGAGGGGAAAAAGGGTGAGAAAAATTATCAGTTTTTGTAATCCTGGAAGTTGCTAAGCAGTCCAACAGTGCTCTATTCTGGAACTTGTTCAATATCCTCCTGAAAACCAATTTTTAAAAAGGGGAGAAAATGTTGTGGCAGTCATTTTGTTGCATAGCATGGATAAATATAAAATAATGCTTATGGGAGAAAACACTTCTAACCATGTAAGTAATCACGGTCTGACTAACTGAAGTAATTATTACGAATCAGAAAGGGATACTGGAGGGTTTTTTTAAAAAGAGAGATCTCGATCTATGAAAATGCCAGCTTATGACTTAGTTGAAGGCTTAGAAGCCAAGAAATTATTATGAAGGGAGTAGAGGACAAAAAAGAGGGCATAATGCCACTAGATATGTTCATGGCTTGCCCACATTGTGAATATTGCATGAGTTCTTATCTACTCCAAATAAAAAAATGATAAAGTAAAACAGTGAAAAGTACAGAAAAGAGTAACAAGAACAAGCAAATATACAAAATAATCTCTCAATTAGGGAAAGCAGAGTAGACTAGACCTCTTCATTCAGTCTGATAAAGATACTAAGGAAGCAGGGAACTTGATAGAAATATAGAAAATCAGGTGTGGCCCTTAGCAGATAAGTAGGAGATGATTTTTTTTATTTATTGTCTCAAAATGCTCAAAACTCAGAGCGCCTATTAAAACTGTAAAGGAATAGGCTCAAAATGAAGAGACGGGGCAGCACTTTTCAATGTGTTTGTTTGAATTCATTGGCACATGAAGTGTGAGCTGCAAGCTGGTGGGGATGGAGAAAATGGAAAATACCAATTTTATTGATGAATGTGTTGGTCAGTGGCTTTCGTAATTTGTGTCTACCACTGTTGGACAGAATACTGGGAGACAAGGGATTTTTGATCTGGCTTAGTAGGCCATTCTTTTTCTTAGTTTTTCCTTGATTTAGGTGATAGGGATGATTGGAACTCAAAAACGTTATTAAACAGACAGATTATTCATATATTTTAGCCACAATAACAATCTCTCTCAGCTAGGTCCAAAGTATAGCTTAAAATTCTGGCTTTTCAACTTGAGGGGTTTTATGTCTGAAATTTTTATCGTTAAAGTGCTGTATGGATTTATAGTCGGCATAATGGATCTTAGGTTCTGAATGATTTTTTTTTTAAATCTGTGTCTGTTTTGAGCTGTAAATTGCAAAGTATGTTTCAGTTCATCTTCATAGTCACTTTTCTGCTTTTGAAAAACACCTGCTTGTGAAGCTGATACCTCACTGTGGTTCTTATTTGAACCACACTGCAGAGAACCACAGTAATTCTCCCAAAAAATCCGTGTTCCTTGGTGCATTCTTATTGCTTATCCAGATCTGTATTGTTCAGAGGCTTAAAAATAACATGTAAAATATGTGCCTGTCTTCAATCTTCTTGCCTAATGACCTGCATTTTAATCAGAAAACCAGGTTCTGTTATTGACAGAAATTGCACTGGCTTTGGCATTGAACATAAGCCAAACTACGTCCAGAGGTGTAGCTAATTTTCCCTGACATGGAGCCTTAAGAGACTGTATTAGCTCATCTAGACCATTTTTTTTTACCAGACTTGGGTTCCCTATGAAATGGTATATAATTCAGTAGTCTGTCTTAATGGAAATTAATAATAATGAGGGTCATCTACTTTTTTTTTTTAAGGTTACACCACATCAAACTGAATTAGGATTAATGTCACGATTTGTGTTTGCTTAGTTTCATCTTGCACAACTTTAGGCTACCACAAGGACCTCAGCCCTTTAGAATTTGTCTTTTCAGTATTTGTAAGCAGTGTTCTCCCTCCTTCCTATTGTCCAGACAAGCATTATATGCTTGATTTCATCGTACTTTCAAATAACTGGTAGGCTTTTGTTGACTATTGTTTTCAAAATGTGTCTCACAAGTGAAACACATTGTAGAACTTGCACTGGGTATCATCTGAGATTAAAAGACACTCTAAACTGCAAAGCACTGTCAGGGTGGATGTGATTGCCTGTCACCTCTTAGTCTTTTCCATTATGTGTCATTTTGTATGAGTATTCTGATTTATTTATTTATTTTCTATTTTCCCAAGTATATGTGTGTGTTCATATCCTCTTCTTATGGTATTTTGACTATAGCTTTTGCTGAGATTTCCTTATTGAGGATTACCACCTTCTCCATTTTAATATCCGCAGTGAATGTGACAAATATCCTGCTTATCTTCTTTTCCAAATTATTAATTATCGTTTGAAATAGGATTGAGAGACGTAATTTCCTCCAAAGCTCTGTGAGGATTCTCCCCACGGCTTGACTGGCACTTGTGTTTGCTATTTGTGATCGTTTTCATTCAGTACTTGCCAACACCAGAACTATTCTGAATGAGTTTTTAAAAATATAACTGCAAAATTCAATGAAATTTCAATGGATTTGGTGAAGGGCAATTAGATAAAAATCCCTTTCAAATAATAAACATTTAATCACTGAGTTTAGTATGATATATTTTTAAGAAACGTATGCCACTCACATTGTATCTTCCAGAGCTCAAATATTTTTTCAGTTTGTGTTATAATTTCAATGCAGTTTTATATTTAATGGATGGTAATTACCAGGATTGAGGGATTTGCCTTTACTATTTTTCAGTTCCTTTTGTGTTTTCATTTCCATGTTTCTGTTGCTTTATGGAACACTGAGTGTTCTTTTCAGGTTTGTTGTATGAATCATGTTCTCAGCTGTTTACAAAGTCAGTCAAATGACAACCACCATAAACCAGTCATGCTTCACCCACCAATACCCCTTTTTTTTATCAAGAGCACTGTGTATTTTGTAATAAAGCATGTTGATAGGAAAGCAGAATTGATTCTTCACTTTTTTTCTTCTAATCTTGCCTTTTTAAGCTTGGTTTTTGTCTTATCTATGATCCTGTTTTAATATGTGTTTTTCAGTTAACTGCCTGCATTCATGGGTCTGCAGCTATGCTCTACCCGATGTTCTGGCAGCATGTTTACATTCCTGTTCTGCCCCCACATCTATTGGACTACTGTTGGTAAGGCTATATATATGTGTGTGTGTATGTATGTATATTATGTATATGTATATATATCACTTAGATTCACAACAGTTTTCAAATTTCTGTATAGTAAGTCTTAAGTCCTCTTATGATGCAACTGTTATTCTAAAAATATATAGGCATATTAAGGAAGCAACCAACCTAGTAAGTAAAAAAATTTATTTTCATGGCAAGATAGAATTGTCTATCGGTATGTTGAAATACTCTAATATGAGTGGTTACTACAGAATGCTGCAACTTTGATATTGTGTAGTTAAAATCTGTGTTCAGCATATCTGTGTTAAATGTTAAAATTTGAATTAAGACTTCAACAGTAGAGGATACAGTGGAGAAGATACTCTCACTTTTCTGCTTTCCGGAACTTCTGTTGGGGAATGGTGGACAAGCACTCTGAGTAATTAACAAAGAGGAAGTTTAAGATGCTGCTGCTTTTAGTTGCTCAGCTGCTAGTTGCTGTTTCCCATGCTCAATTTGTGTGGCTTGCCCTTTTTTTTTCCCTTCCCTTTGTGTACGTAGCACGGAGATGAAGTTTGCCCAGAAAGAGTGGCCTTATCTTAGGCTTCGTAGAGAAGTTAAACTTTCAAGCCTTGTTAGAGAGTTAATGGAATTGTTGCTGGGCATGCAGGGATGGAATTAGTAAGGCCAAAGCTTGGCTGGTGTTAAACTGAGGGACGTAAAGGGTAACGAGAAGCTGTTGCAAATAAGTGGTTTAGAGTTTGCTTAAAGAATCACCGTCAAAGGTATTAACAGAAAATGATTTTAATAGACGTTTATAAAAGCACAACTTAACAGAGTTTGATGGTAAGGTTCATTCTGTCACCTACTACATGGATGAAGCATACAAAGGAAAATTGTGTTAGATTTAAGCTAGAATGATTTATATAGAGACCAAGGACGAAAAGGGTAAGGGAGACCCTCCCGTTGAGTCACGAGATTCAGAGTAGACCCCCTTGCTTTCTAAACTCCTGATGGAGTCTAGGTGCGGCTGGATCAACTCCTAGTCCCAGACTTGGTCAACGATTTATGTCTAAGGGATTAGCATGTGTTTAGCAGCAGTCTGAGGTTCATTCACAGTTTTAAGATAGATCATAAGATTTTAGCAGACTATATTTGCTAGCGGGTACCTCCATCAGTTCACACACAGGCACACAGACACAAAGATAGACAAATACACAAAGGTATACCTGTTAAAAATTCCCCTCGAGTTCAGTGAAATATTCACGTCAAATGTCTTGGCATTTCTTAATGGGCGAGGGGTGGAGCCTCGAGGAGTGTTTCAGCCCAGGTCCCGTCGTCAGTTGGTGACGGTCCTCCGAATATCGCAGACTCGAGAGTTCACGAGCTCTGAGAGGCATCCCACTCAGAGGGAGATGCTGGGCAAAGCCCGCTGTGGTCCAGGAGAGCTCAGAGGGTCTCACTTAGGACCACTGTTCATAGGTTCGCAAGATGATTGGCTTTAGTCATCCGTAAAAATTCTCAAGGTTTCAGTAACAATAATATCGTTCCACTTGAGCTACGACTCAGATAAGGGTATCAGGGGTATCAGGGATGACGAATCCCGCTCTCGTCTCCCACCTGGGCCAGGCAGTAGGAGTACGTTCCCAGCCTCAGCTAAGCAGAGTTTCTGATACGGTCAAGGGGTGGTTGACCGGCAGAATCAAT